AGAGAAACACTGGCCTCAGACTTTTCCTCGTTCTAGCAGATGGGCATCGATGAGGAGAGAGAGAGAGAGAGGGACAGAGAGAGAGAGAGAGAGAGAGGAACAGAGAGAGAGAGAGAGAGAGAGAGAGAGAGAGAGAGAGAGAGAGAGAGAGAGAGATATGCTTGCTCTCCTGGTCAAGAGACCTAGGAAAAGCGAGTGTTAGAGGAGGATGGACAACAAAAAGAGAGACAAATATGAAAAGGAGGAGAGAAAAGAGTGAGAGAGCGGGAGAAGAAAGAGAAGTATAAAAGAGAAGAAAGGAAAGAGAGAAATAAAAAGAAAAAAGAAATAGTGAAACCAAATCCAGTATTTCTGTAGTGTACTGTTAATATTCAGAAGACATGCAAACAGTCAAAAAGCATTTCAGATTTAGACTTTAGAACTGCAGGTTGTCTGTTTGGAGGCTATTAATGTGCAATTCAATGAAGTATCACACTCTAATGTCATTGCCATCTAGTGCAAAACAGTTTAAGATCACATTAACCTACAAAAATCCCAGCACATGACAGGAGGGGTGTAAAAATGCATCAGAGGGTGACGTTTCAACTGCATTGGTTTTGCAATGCTTGAATCGATTATCAATTACAATAAGTTTAGTACAGTATCTACTCTATTTTTCTGAGGCTATTTTAGCATAAAAAGAAGGTTTTTATGTATACACATACATATACAGCCAAAACTAGCTATTACTAGTTATTACTAATAATTGGTGTCTACAGAGAATGTATGAAGTGTTTTTTTTGTTTTTTTTGTAGATAAATTGACAGTTGTTCAACTTCAAAATCACGAAGCATTGCACAGGCTAAAGTAGTGCTTTGAGTTGCTCCATAGGTGACAATGAAAAGAAGTGTGTTTAAGAGAGTCTGAAAAAGCATCATCCTAACACCTCTAAGGCATTTTCTATTGGGCAGTGGTTTACAGGGAAAAAAGGTGGGTAAAGCATAAGCTTCAATGGACTACCAATCACATAACTGCAGTGCGATGGACGGCTACATACATAAACCAATATCTCTTCATCCCATTACTTAATGTTAGCTACACTGCAGGTTGGTACTGAATATGCTACTTCTGTAAAACAAAAGGCTGAAATGTTTAAAAGATAATAAATCATCATGTCTTTTTGTAAAAGTTCTACTATGAAATAGCCACAGATGGACACCAAAAATTGCTTTTTTGCTTTACCATTGGTGGTGGTGGTGGTGGTAGGGAGGAGAGGTCATCTGTCTGAGTAAATGTATTCATAAGTACTTCTAATGTACTTAAAGATATGTAAACCGCATTTATGTGTATTTACCCTCTGCTACACTCCTGGGTACAATGAATAATACGAACCCAGAACTAGTACGCAGGGATCTCTGGAGGGTGTGTGGTCGTCATGATTTCTCACACAATGCTAGTGTTAACAGAAAAGACAAACAACTGCTGCAACATTGGAGGAGATTCAAGCTGTCTTCAATTTCGCTCAGTATTTTGTTTTATGTGTAGAGTCATAAGCAGTGATTACAGGTAGCTATAGTGGTTTTTTGTGGAAATGGTGGTTGTTTGACCAATAAACAGTCTGCAGTATTTTTGGCTCCACTCATATGTCACAGTTCAGTATGAGAGGTAACCAAACTCAGCAGGGTACAGTTTACTTAGCAATGGTAATGAAGTCAAAAGGCATTACTCAATTTTTTTTTAATTTCTTTTTGATTGATTGATTAAAATAAAAATTGCTGGTCAGAACCAAAATTCAAGATACACCTGGCTGAAAAACCACAACCAAAAATCCAAAAGATTTTATTTTTTTTTAATTTGATGGTGTTTTATGCTTATATGGCAATAAAGAAAATATCCTTTTATTACTGATAAAATATAAAAAAATACAAACAGAAATACATAAAATATGATTAGTTTACTCAGTATGTGCCTCTACGACAGAGAACGGCTTGTCATTTGAGGCAATGAATTCCACTAATTTATTTGTACTTTGCACTTTGGATCTGTTTGTGATTTTTTGTCATTTCAAAAAACCCTGGCTATACATGGCATTAGCATGTTAGCAGGGACTTTCTGCTTCCGATGTTTAGCTGTATTCTGCGCACTGAGCAGAGTTTCTTGTTTTCAAGTGGTGTCAAACCTGTAGTAAAGTTCTTGAGTATCGTACTTCCTCTTCATACACTACATTAGCAGAAATTATAAATAGCTTGTCTAATGTCCCTCATAGAAACTGTGAAATAGCTAACTGCAGTTGTCTTTCCTCCCTAACTGTTGATCTGCTGCCCAAACTGTTTGAACACACCTGCACTGACCAGCGCACGAGAGCGAAGTAAACAAAGTGTTTCAAATTAGTGTTCTTCATTTTCATTACCATTCAAATAATTTGGTGTCAGATTTTGACTGTCTATTTAATCTTTTTATTGTTTTTGGCCAAAACCGTAAGTGCCATTTTTGACCATTTTCAGCTGAAATGTTTCAGTAACCAAAATTTTAGTGCATCCACAATTTTTATTTGTTGGCTAATATCATGCTGAGTGATGTAGGAAAAGAGACAGCACAGCGAACTACGCTCTTTTGGACTCCTGGTTATGGATGGCTGTGGCATCACCAGGGATTAAACTCTGATCTCCCAACAATAAGGTAATCTTAAACAGTTGCGCCACTCAGAAATGACAAAATGTGCGATCACAGATTTGTAACAATATCGTGCTGTAACACACTGCCCAGAGTAAAAACGCCTACAGTGTCCAGATTGAGGAAGATTGTGAGAGAGGAGGAGACAGCAGTGTGGGGAGGAGCTGAAACTCCCTCCAGAGTGATTTAAGTCTGCAGAGCCACGCTCCATACCTGCCTTGGCTCAGCCTGCTGCTGCTGCCCCGGCTCGCGCTCGGCTCCAGCCAGCCGGAAGGAAGGAAAGAGCAGTGATATTTGGATGGATGAGTCCAGCGGCAGGAAGAGAAAAGCACCAAACAGCGAGCTAAAGCGTTCCCCTGTCTTCACATGCTTGATTTCCCCCCTTAATTAGAGTCATTCATCAGCGTGTGTGAGAGATGAGGCGGCGCGCCGGCCTCTGCCACACCACACCTTGCCACCTGTCAAAATTACAGCTTTCAGTTCATGCGCCATCCCTCAAATAGTTATTTTTTACAAGCCTGGCTGAGTCTCACAATTCACTATTTACTATGGTCCTGCCCCTGCTGCCATGCAACCACCAGACAGGCACACATACAAACACATGGAGGCTGACACGCACACACGCACACTAAAGCTGGGGGCAGTCGTAATGTCAGTGTCAGACAGTGCTAATGGTCATTAAGCCGCAGATCAATTCCAATTAAAGGCCATTAGCAGTGTTATTATAGAGATGATCATTGTTTTCATAATTCAGCCAAACAACCCGCTGCTTGTCCTTGGCCTCGGTGAAGGAAAAAGAGAGCAAAGCTTTAAAGCTTTACACACTGACATGAAATACATTTACTGGAACTGAGTGAGCTGACTTGTGTATCCAGCATAGATTCTAAGACCAGATAACGTCTTAACGATGTGTGACCCTTAGGTCCTCCATGGTGTTTATGCCTTCTATAGCACTTCTTACATTCTGTTCAGTTGTTTCTCACCCATCACTCAATGAAGCAGAGAAATACTGTCCAAAGTACTGACTCTAACTTTAAACCCAACACCACATTTGCATTTCTAAGTACTTCATTATGAGCTGAATGTAATGAAAAGTTATTGTTGTTCATACAGTTGTGTTTTATGCAAAAAAATCTTTAATTTTTGCAATTATCTTCTCTGACATAGAAATAAACAGAAAAATGGCAAATTCATCATGTAACCAACAACATGATTAAGTATAAATAACAACAGCAGCTGCATAATCACCCCAAAACAAAAGTATAAACAAATATCAGAACAACATCAACAGGACTGAGAAGGAGAATGACAAGAAAATATGTTTTAAAGGAGAACTATGTTTTTTCTTCTGAAAAATGTCTACATCATGAAAATGTAAACAAAGTCATTCAACAAGGCTTAATGTGACAGTAGAGAAACTTAACGACTCAAATTTATAACTGTGAACCTACTGTAAGACAATGAGTGAGTTTACAGGCACTTAATTAACCAATAACTGCAGAAAATCTGATTTTGTCAGTAATCTGATCAACGCATTTACATGCTCTTGAGTAATCAGACAACGGGGAAAACTCCGGGTTTACGTGAGTCAGGCAGTAATCGGATTTCTGCTTTGCAAACAGCCAATAAACCCACACATCTTTACCTGAAAATATAAACATACATCATCTAGAAGATGAAGAATATTAAACTCCTTCATTTCGGCAAGTATGTATTTGGTTTAGCATTGCTCCAAAAGTGTTTTGGTGCATCTCGTGACAACACGACTTGCTTATTTCCGGTACTGCGGTCTGTTTTCGCACATGCACAGACTCAGAAATCCAAAAGAAATCAGAGTAAGAGTTTACATACAGTGAGAAATCTGATTACTGAGCTAAAATCCAGCTCTCATTATCGGATTTCTAGATCTAAGAAATCAGAGTATGCTGTTTAATGACCATTTGAATAATCAGATAACTGCAGAAATCTGATTATGATCGAATTACTGAGTGCATGTAAACGTACTCAAGGTCTGAGCACCAGGCAGTGTATTCCTACCCATTTCTTGTAATAACTTCTTGTGATGTAGCTTTTAAAAGCATTAAACACTTCTGGTTCCTATCACCATCAACAATTCGGACTCTGTACATTTTCTCTACAATGGCGCATTTCACATTAAACCACTCTGAACGACTTACATCTTAGCCATTTAATTACACAGTAAATTTGAAAAATTGATGGAATTCCTTTTTAAGGTTTGTGCATGCACTACGCAACCTGTGCCATCGTCAAAAGCTCAAACTGGGACAACGCTGTGCGGCAAAACAGTTTTCCTTCATAAGCACGTCTTGAATTAAGTGTGGCCTTACCTCGGGGCTGGCTGCTTTGGCCTTTTCTTCTCTTCTTTTCACCTGCTCGCGTTTCAAGCAGAGCTGTTTGTGGCTCTGAAGGAGGCGCTCTTGCTGGTGGCTGAAATTCCATTGAAGGCCCTCAGAAGGATCCTGCAGAACGGCCCGGTCCGCTTCACAAGGCCCGCTATTGTCCGGCCCGCAAAGCTTCTGTTCGCGGGGGTCCTTCACAGAAAGAGGAAGTAGGACTGAGTTAACCTTTCAGTCCCTCTATCTAGCCAAAAGCATTGTCTCATCCTTCCACTGCCTGGGCTGGTATTTAACCTACGGAGCAGCACCTCAATGCCTACAGGTTTCAAAAGAGAGGTGACCGTGGGCAAAAACGAGACAGCTTTGCCTTACAATGCTTCAGCGTGTCGCTTTAGGCTGGGGCTTTATGGCATTTTGGTGGTGTGACAGGGCATTCATGTTTAGGCCAATCCAATATACTTCAGAAATGAGCTTATTTATCGAAATAAACAGACTGCTCGCTCAGAAACGGGTCACTTCTGTGTAAGAAGAAAGATCACAAGTAATCTACGATTAGCTAATCTAGGTCACACCTCCAAGGCTCTCTCAGTGTCCACTATCTGATTAACTAGCTTTTGATCTTTTTCAAACTGTCCGGTGCCACGAGAAAGCGACAGTTGCCTTCAATAAGCATTTCTAACATGCCTAAGGTAAGTTATACACTTCAGCGAGTATTCTTGGAATTCAGCTAGCTTCCCTGGCATTGCGTCGAAGAATTTCACCAGCCGGTTTGTGCGTTCAGCACCGGACTCCACTTTAAAAAGCTTCTGTTGAGTAAGAATAATGACGTCTGTGTCAGCCGAGCGCAGCCGGCCATCTTAAGTGCGAGTCACCACCTTATTGATCACGACGGCCAACTCTTTCTCACTCTCAACTTCATCATAGCACCTCACATATTACTCAGCTCCTTATCTTCCACCTTGGACACGCACACTGTAGCCAGAGAGCAAATCCAGCAGTTAATGTACACAATAGACTGTTGGGGGGGAGAGCTCAGTATCAGTCATAATTATAGGTGGATATTAATAACACTGCAAATATTAATCTTAGAAGTAAACATTAAGCGGCTTAAAAGAAAATTGCGAATAAATCAGATTATCCTATAGGAAAATCCCTGCGAAGGATCCGAGATGTAATAAGTAACGCAGCCATCTTTTTTCATATAGTGCTGCCATAGGTAGAAAGTACCAGGCAATTCATAAAGCCGCACCGGCACATACATATTTCACCTTCAATTTTATTTTTTCATAACTCTCCCAGCCACAAAGGAGATTCAATTAGGTTTTCTGATTGGGGCGCTGGCATTCTGTCGGGTCATTCAAAGGTTAAAGAATTCAGTGCTACAAACACGATTATGCTACTGTAGCATTTGATCAGACCCTCTGTTTATCATGCAAGCCTGACCCCCATGTTGAGGTCTCAAAATAATGCCACTCGGAGAGATTCCCCGCAGGTAATTGCCAGGGCATTTTTACATCCTCGATTGCATGGCTACCACCATTTCGCATTTAAACACTCTCAGAAGAAGCGGAATGCAGGAGCGCGGCGGGAGCAACATTACCGCTACTCAATGATGCCGAAAGCCGAGTGCACATTAAATCATTTTTATATAGTGAAGGAACAAGCAACATAATGTCATTTCCTTCCCCTCTTTCTACTATGCTCCCTGAAAGAGTGAGTGAGTGAGAGAGAGAGAGAAATAGAGAGGCAGAGAGAAAAATGAAGATAGAAATAATCAGATACTTAATTTAATATGTCTGAGTTCAGGGTCCATCTGCTCCCACTCCTTATACAAGTGACTTCATACATTATGCTGTAAAGTCAAGTATTCCTGAGCTTGGGTAACCACTGGACATGCACATAACATAAAAACATGATGGGAAGCAGGTCAACTTCTACACTGCCGTACAGCATCACTAGACTTTACATTCTGCAGAATACACACAACAGACTACACTGTTTTAACATTACAGTTTTTTTATGTTTCCTTCCTTAAAAATAGCTTGAATAGAAGTTTATATAAAAGTTTATATATCTGCCTGGTTTAAAATAAGTTGAAATTTAGAGAGGGAAGTTTTGTAAACTTTGTTATTAAGCAGATTACAAGTCCATATAACATCAGTTTTGGAAAACTGGAAAAAATAGTAACTTTAAAGGAGAAGGAAAAAACCTACTTTATTTTTAATGTAAGTCAACAGAACCAGACTTTTTTCCAAGTAATTTTGGGCCATTTCTTTTGGTCCATTCATCATGAAATTTACACACAGTGTAAAGAGCAACAGGCATTTTCAAATCATGCCAAAAACCGAAAAACGACAAAACTGGAGATACAAGGTTTTGTTTTGACAGCAGCGATATACCATGTCAACAAACGTGCAAAAACAAAAGTGCGCTGTAGCTGGGCTTCTGCCTGCACTACGACAAACTAGGAAAATGCATTAATGGCTTAAAAAATGATGCAGTAAATTTATGTATGTCAATGTTTCCACCTTTGAACAAATCTATGTGATAGTCTGCTTTGACTATTTGACTACTCAAATTTCTAACTTAACTCACAAGATATGAACTACTTACCTGAAAAAAATCCTGTTACCTTTCATTGTATGTGTTGGGTTTTTTGGTTTTTATTTGTTTGTTGTGTTTATTCTAATGAGACAGAGTTTTATTGGAAAAAACACACTCACTGCTGAAATAAATAGTTTTAAACAATGTGCTTAGGTGCCTAAAAACACAGCTGTGTGAAAAGGTTTGAGCTCCCTGGTATGCTTTGCTGATTTTTTAAAAATGAAAATAAGTGCATAGATTTCACAGAGAACTCTTCAGCAGACACCTTAATGCACAATTACTGTTTATTTGCTGAATTTAACATTTTAGAAAAATACAGAAGTTGTTGTACATTTTATATTTTATTTTTTTCCAATATGTTACACTCAGCAAATTGAGCACTAAAAGTGCAGTAATATTTGCTGAAAACGGCATGTTTAAATGTGTTCTCTGTAGAAGACTGTTATTTTCTTAAAACATATAATTTAATGCATAATCAAGGGTGTTGAAATTTTTTAAAATAACTACACAGACACCCACACGCACACGCACACGCACACACATACACACACACACACATATACACGTACATGCTCTGGCAGATGGCCAGGATTGCAGGATTGCAGGATTGGTAGGCAGATTGACAGGAGAGAGGATCTAAGCTGTCTTCTCCATCCAGAGTGAGCAGCAGGGCTATCTTGGATTCCTGGCCACAGATGACTGTGGCATCATCCGGATGTGACTTTGGGTCCTGATGAGAAGACTCTCTTAGCTGGTTGCACCACTCGGGAGCCTTTTTTGTTAGTCTTTCCTATTTTTCTATTTCTATTTTTCCTTTTTTGCTATGCTAATGTACCTCCATAAGCAATCCAGCTACCTGTCTCCTTCTCTGTCTAATCACTGCTGGTCCCAAATGCTAGTCTGTGCTGTGTATGTCACATACACCCACACACAGAGCGACACACACTAGCATTCCAACAACAGGGGACAGGTGAGCGTGTGAATAATGCATGAAGAGTTTTATATTGGGAGTGACGCTTGTCAATCACGTCTGCCTAAATCAAGACAGCACAGATCATTTCCATTTCAACTATCGGATATTCAGTTTGGAGGCACAGCTCCGGTACTCGTTCAACCACCGCATCTCGCAATCGGACAGGAGGGATATCCCTAGCCGTGCTTTAATTAACGCCGGGAAAGTCTTGGACTCGTCCGCACCCTGATAATTCAAAGCGGTGCATTCAATATCTCTATTTACATGCCAGGATCTGAGCTGAGCAAACAAGCTCATTTAAAAGTTCATATGCTAATGTATGACATTTAAAGCAAACTTTACACGAGAAAAGGACATACAACAAAAGGCTTTGATTCTTTTTCTGCTTTGTGAACTTGTCGAGCTTCCATATTCATGACCTTAAAACTGTGGCACCTTTGCGAAAGGCTTCTCGATATACACTTTCCTTTTTTTTTTCCATCTTTTTTCCCCCTTCTGCCTAAAACGATTTGACCAAAATCCATACAAACAAAAAGATGTTTATGTATGGAGTCTGGTGTGCAGGTGTGTGTGGGTGTATGTGTAGGTGTGTTGATTACCTGGCTCGTGGAGTGCGTGCTGGAGTTCCTGGCCTTGCCCTGATGAAGCTGTGGATGTTCTACCCGAGAGGTCAGTTTGGACACCTCCAGCTCGTTCTGTCTCTGAGAGTTCAGGACTCTACCCACAATCCCCTCATGCTTCTGCAACTGCGCACACACACACACACCACACACAATGTTAAATATGCTACCATTCAAAAGTTCAGAATCACTTGCCGTATTAATAACTTTTGTTATTTTACACATAGCACTGTGCAAAAGTCAAAGACCACCCTTTATTTATATATTTTCAGTCAAAATGGCCATTAAGTTCAGGTTATTCCCTTTTTTCAATGATACAGGTTGTTGGGACTTTACACATCTAAAAAATGTTAATGTTGTATTATGATTAATATCTACTCCCCGACTAAACATTACAGAGAAACAAAAACACTGGGCCTTGCTCACCAATGATTCTAACACAGTTTTCACGAAGATTCTGACATTCACCAGTGTTTTCTTGTTTGGGATTTGTTCTTAGGTAAGAACAGAATCTACACAAACTCAAGAGTAAAAAGGTGAGAACAATTCTGCGGTTTAAGAACACGTCATGAACCTGACGTATACCTTTTCTTGGGACCTTCCTCAAGAACACATTTAAGAAAAAACTTAGGAAGATATTGGAGAATGAGGCCCAATGTCTTTTAAATGTTACAATAAAAAGAATTCTGCTTAATATGATCAGGGCTACAAGTTACAAGGTAATGACAAAGTACCAACAGAAAGACAAGGTTAAAAAAAAAGTGTGATTTTGATTTTGCCTTCACTTTAAATGATAAATAAAAACTGTAATGATCTGACCATGCTGCCTGAGATTCGATCACACTTGTGGATATTAATTTAATCAAAACTGCAGTCCCAACGTTACAGTCTAATCACACATTTTAGAATCATTTGTGACTTTTGCTTCTAGACACATCGAAATATTTTTGATTTGAACAGCTTTCTCCTCATTACTTGAAAACTGTGAAGTTGCACATATATATATATGCATATAATGTAATGTAATTTTATATTAATTCTAAACACACTTTAACAGCAGAATATCTCTGTGAAGACCTGCATGTAAACAGTAGCTCACAAATCCTAAAACTACTGTCACAACTTACCCCTAACTGAGATTGACCATAACCTAATCGTAAACCTAGCCACCCTCAATACCACCTCATTAATTTCTTCCACTTAATATACACAGCCATTCAAAAGTTTGGAATCCATTGTTATATTAAAAATGTGTGATATTTTCTATACAGCAACAACTTGAAATGTAGATTTAAATCTTATAAACAAGACACCAAAAGGTATTATAAGTTTTATTCAATATTTCAGATTTAAAGTTATTATATACTGTAAATCATAAGTAATTATCCATTTACAATATTTCTTGTCAACTCCATGCTCAGTGCTATACAGTTTTCCCAGTCATTTTAGAATCATCTCCAGCTCTGTTCGCCAAGTCTACAACTTCCTATTAATTATTTTAATAACAAATCTGTTTGATCTGAGACGTAACTTCTTGCCATCATAGATGCTGTTCCATTGGCTAAAATGGCCGTGTTGTTAAAGATGTAAAAGTGTAAAATTTTAAAAACTCTCTCTTTTTTCAAAGCAATACCCGGCTGGTTTATGGTACAGAAGCATGCTTGTTAATTGTAAATACAATGTATTTACAATGTGTGTTTCTATAATTCTGGCCATAAATCCTTAAGACTTCCTGGCCTGGTGGCCTGAGTGGCCAGTGCAAATTTTAATATCAGTCCACCCCTGGCTCCAGAGCATGGGTGTCCAGTCTTATCTTCAAAGGGCTGTTGTGGCTGCAGCACACCTGATTCCACTTGTTTAATCAGTTGGTCTCAATCTACAAACAACTGACGATGTGAGCTCCTGCTGTTTTGGAATGGAAACATGCAGCAACGCTGACCCTTTGCAGATAAGATCGGACACCGCTGCTCCAGAGAGTCAGTGTTTTGGCACTTCACTTCCAGGTTGGGGTCATCAGCAAATAAAGCCCTCCTATAAAAACATGTACATGTCATTGCGTTACACTAAGCTGTATCAGTTGTGTCTGTTTTCATACTTTAGTGAGAAAGTTGCTGTTTTCCTGACGGAGGGTCTGGAACCGCTCCTGCTGTGTCTTCGACTTATCTTTGCTCTTCTGAAGCTGCGAGGTTCGACACAAAAGATAACCACCAATTGGACCTCACTTAAGCAACCTTGATGATCGATTGGCCAAGCAGTGGACGAACAGGAGGCCCTATCTGCAGCGTGGTGTTCAAACTGCTCATTCATTAAAAGATGCTCTTCCTTATTGATTTTGGCTTAAGTAATGAGAAAGCTTATCCAAAAATCTTTAGCATTTGGGCTCAAGTTAAGGAAATCAATGCCACCGTTTCCCATTCGAACAGCATATGCGAATTTTATGTACAAAAGACAAGATGAATCCAGAATCTGATAAATCAATAGGCTTTGTCAATACAATATAAAAGTGGCAAATGACATTTTTAGCCAATTAAAGTCAGCTGTAAACAGCTGAAGGCCAATAAGTTCAACATGTCTATAATCAGTGGTGTACAACTCATTTAAGATGAACCTGCCGCCATGACTCGACTCTAACCAGCTGGAGGAGTCCATTATCTAGAGAAAATATTTTCACTGCCAGACAGAAAACAGATTCACCAATTTAGCCTCTATGCTATTGTAAAGCCATTGTTTAGTGCAGTGGTGTCAACCAGCTTTCATAACATTTTCGTAAGTATAATCCAAACTAAAACAACGTGTTGGACGATTTTCACTTCTGGAGCCTTTCATTCGAGTCAAAACTTTTTAAAACAAGTCAGATGTTGAAGGTGAACTTGGACACAGAGCTTCATTCTATTCATTCCAGCATTAGTGTTAAAGAGAGCATGGTTAAAGCAGGGAGGTCAAGAGGAATAAGGAAGACTCGCACGACCTCGGCAAGAAGAGCTGAGAATTAAACTCCAGTCACCTTTTCAGAATGTTTCTTCTTCAGAGAGCTCTCCTAAAGTTCACTCAGTGAACCTGAGCTAATCTCTAGTGCTGAGTAATGGAGAGTCCTAAGCAGCAAAAGTCAGCAGACTGCACTAATACTCTCAGAACTCAAAGTCAAAAATATCAAATCTTTTGCAAGGATAATACTGCTAGTGTTTTTTCAGTAACACATGAACAATGAACTGTGTCAGCATCTGCTGTAAACAATCGAAACTGCTGTATTTGTTAAATTAACAATTAAGCACACGTTTTCAAAATAGCCCTTCTCACAAACTGCCTGGAATTCATGAATATTGCAGGAAGAAAAAACTTTTTGTACATCTACATCTGTATAAAAACCTAGTAAAAGCAAGTTTGAGATGAAAGTAAGCAGTAAAAGAAAAGAAGGAAAATGCAGAGTGAGTGAGCGAGAAAGGGAGAGAGAGAGAGAGAGAGAGAGAGAGAGAGAGAGAGAAACAAATAGCAAGCAAGGACAACTTTACCAAACTCTGTCCTTAAGAAGTTACAATCACATGCAGAAGCAAACACCTCAGTTCAAATGACGTTTTGTTGTTTTTTTTTTAAGTGAAAATAAGTTTATCGTCTACAGGGAACCAACTTTAATATTGCATTTTCTGCTAAGTTTAGTGGAAAAAATGAAGAAAATATAAAATGTGCTGTAACATGTGCACAGGCCACATTATAGTTTTTTCCTCAATGTGTTAAATTCAACAAATAAACAGTAATTGTGCATTAAAATGTGCAGAAGTGTTGGTCTGTTGAGTATGGTTTAACTTAGTTTCACTTATAATCTGATTTATATATACATGAGTACTGTGCAAAAGGCACCAAAGCAAACAGATATCTGGGCAGTGTTTTGCCAGAAAAACTCTACAATATATAACACAATATAAACATAAATACAATAAAAGGTAATAATTTCTAATTTTGAAAAAGTAGCTGATTTCCTGTGAGGTAGTTTGAAGAACTGCTTCTAGATTTCACTTCATCACCCCCAGTGAGCACATGGATTTATTAAATCCCATCAGCTGCACATTTGATTTAACTGAATGAAGATTAGCCAAACCGGGTATTGGACAACTATAGATAACTCTGGGCTGCCACGAGGAGAGGTTTGGAAATGGTCAAGCAAATAAACTGACAATCATACAATGACTACTCATTGTATTCAGATTTTTTGTATTTAATTTTACTTTTTGTTGGTCATATAAACACTCATTGCCTTATAAAGTGTCTATTTTTCTCCAAAATGTCTAAAGCTTTTTTTTTAAACTCTACATACTTACATACTTACACGTTTTACATATGCTGCTCTGACTACATTACAATACTACCTACATTTGCATTCTCTCCACCCACTCTGTATATATGTATATTATATTTATATTTGCAACATCCATATTTTTACCACTCTACCGTCTTTATTTGTACATAGTGTAACTGTCAGTTGTCAGTTACTTTCTTGCACTTCATATGTAAATAACACTGTTTTTGCACTTCTGATTAGATGCTAACTGCATTTCACTGGCTCTGCACCTGTACTCTGCACAATGACAAAGTTGAATCTAATCTAATCCATTGTAATTATTAACATTAACTCTATAACTACCATCACACCTACTGAATATGTTCATTTACACACAGTTACTGCACTTCAGCATCACTGAACTCTGTACGGTGATGTCAATAAAGCTGTACTGATTTACACTCTGAAAGTGTGAGAGATACAGAAGAGAAAGAGAAAGAGAGAGAGAGAAAATCCATATATCTGATCCATACAGTGGCTGGAGTCAGGGACAAACCTGCACTCTTCTAACTGTATTCTTCAAAATCTTGAGATGTTTTACTGTATTTGTTGGCTTGTATTTATTCTAGTGATGCATAGTGTTCAATAGTTTTAATCAATGTTGTTGCCTGATCTTTTGCACAGTATTGTTTAGGTCCTAAATGTTTGTTCTTATTTCAGTGATGCTTTGTCAGTACTGTATCTACATATGGTCATTCTAATAAAGCTAAAAGAGACATATGTGTATTTACATGTGCGCAGGAGAGAGAGAGAGAGAGAGAGAGAGAGGACAGCATTGTGGCTGGAAGTGGGC